TGGAGGCGGTTGGTAGTAATTGGCTGTTCTCCGCCTGTATCGTATAAGATCGGAGGCGGTTGGTAGTAATTGGCTGTTCTCCGCCTGTATCGTATAAGATGGAGGCGGTTGGTAGTAATTGGCTGTTTTCCGCCTGCATCGTATAAGATGACTTCCAGATTGAAACTATCAATATCAACACAGAACCTTTAGTTTTGGGGCATTTTAGTTATAATCATATTAAACAATTTACCTAAGTTTGTTTGGGATCAATCACGAAATTTAAAGTGAGAAAATCAGTGGCGTAAACAGAATTTGGAGAATGTGAAGATCAAAGAATTAAAGGACACCAAAGAGCCAGTTTAATATTTGGTTTGTTTGTTATCAAGCACAAAGCTACACAATGGACTATATGTGTTGTGCTCACCACCGGAATCGAAACCCTGTTTTTAACGTTATAAACCTTCAGACTTGCCGCTGAGCCACTGGCGGGCTTTAATCTTGATATATGACATAAAGGGGTGAAGGAGGAGCGAAAAATAACTGGAAAACGACGTAACTCTCCTCACAAATATTAATGTATATTAATCTTATTCTTGTACAATCATTTTTGTACAAATCTCAAAAAACATCTTCCCGGAAGTAGGAAGAAGCTGCCCCATTTGTCCTCACCCTTTGGTTCCGCTAGTGAGACAAATATCCATAAATTTAATTTTTTTGTCAAATTTAATCTATCACTGTTCTACTTGTCAACTCTTACAAACATAACTATTTATAGCTGTGAATAATAAAGTGTTTGTGGTGGCCGTATGTTTGGACTTAAATATTTTATGTATCATTCTGAGTTCAATTTACGTTTGTTAGCAAAATCGAATGTCCACGCGAATTACTTTTACACTTTTATTGTCAAGAAAATCCAGGAAAATGTTTGATTTTATAATCATTCGAACAAGAATGTGCTGTTAAAGCTACAAAGGAGACACAGAAGATATTGGTTGATGTTTAACAAGCCTCCTTTTATATGTTTGTTTCGGAGTTTAAAAAGATCTGGCAAAACCGTGTAGCTAAAATAAAATCTTTGGCAAAATACTTATTCTCGATAAAACAAACAGATTACTAGTATTCGCTCAAATCTTTAGGAGTTCATCAACGTCACGTCTGAATCTTATAATAATAAAGGCCATTAACATTAACTCGATATCTTGCATTGTTTAACAATGTTCGACACTATCTCTGTTAAGTTATTCGACAGCACACAACCCCCATTTCTGTGTCCTATAACGTTCAACAGTATGTTTGTATCCTGTAAATTATTCGACAGCACACAACACCATTTCTATGTCCTATAATTATGTTCAACAGTATGTTTGTATCCTGTAAGTTATTCGACAGCACACAACCCCCATTCTGTGTCCTATAAC